AAAAGCAATAAAGATCCTAAACTGCTAGAAGTGGAAGGTCTTGAATGGGCCCAGGAAATCTATAGACTTAAATCCCCCAGCGCAGATATTTTATATGCTAATGAGAGACCGGAGGGGACTAACCCCACAGGAAGCAATAAATAAAAGAGATTTGCTGCAGTTATTTTAATCAAAATGACTTAAAACCAGGTATAAAGTATAAACCACTTCAATTTATAAAAGGTTTATTAGTTTCTATTAATTTCTCCAGCGAATAAGTTAAGATTTGTTGTTTCATAAAAATGTTTTCATCTAAGTTGTGTGTAAGATCCAGCTGTAAATACCTCTTACTATTCACCCTCTCATGTCAGACCCAAATGCAAAAACAAACAGAACACTGGCCTCAGTGCACATTTCATAAATCTGCTAATCCTAACCTCTAAAGAATTTTATGTACTGTACAAACAACCTAAAGGGGTCCTGTGAAAGGGGTTTAAATGTCACATGGCTTTGTTTTGCCACTCCATGCCACAGCACAGTAATCCCACTTAGGGCTTGTGTCAACAGGCAAAAGAGGAGGAGGATGGGGTGGGAGATGAATCAAGCTGAAGAGGAAGGGGTGCTAGGTGTGATGAAACAAACTTGAACATTTGGCTGAACTATTGTACCAGAATCATCTCTACAGGGAGGAAAAACATTCAACCACACTGACAGAAAGGGATGTAGATGTCTGAGAGTTCCCTCTTTGCAAAAACACAATGTAAACAGCTGAAAGAGCGAGAATTAATACAGGGGATATTCTTTAATCTGCAGGTTTTATATTCTGTAGGTAGTGAAATTAAAAAAATAAATACAGCAAATTGTTTTGCATCATTCTAAGAAAAAAGAAAAAGAAAAAAATCTACTGGACTTTGTTTCCAAGATTGTTTTTAAACAAGGTAGATTTTTTTTTTATATTAGGAATTGACTATGACCTGACTGAGAATCTACACCAGTATATCCAAGTAAAGTGATCTATACTGTGTAAAAAAATAACTTCTGGGTATTTTTTTTTTTATTTTATTTCTCAAAAGAAGTCAAATTAAATACACAAATGAGATTTTCGGATAATAAATCAGCTCAGCGGGGACAGCTGTAACAAGCAAACCGTCAACCAATAAGAAGTTACTTACCTGGGTTCATCTTCTCTTCATTCGCTTCGCTTAAAAAATCTAAATTGTGGCGCAAAATAATTCCTTCATGTCCGGGAAAACGTCCCAGTCGCTCAGGGGGAGATAACCGAGTGAAAAGCAGTCATTTTCTGGATCAAACAGCTCTCAGCTCAGTGGATCGGAGTCTCTCCTTCACCTGACCCGCGTCAGAACTAAACCCTTCCTAGTTTCCCTTCACCGTCCACTAGGGGGCCTCAGAGGGCGCAACATTTACTATCAACCTAAACAGAAGGTGGCTTCAGATTAGATGGAAACTGAGTCACTATGAAACTGAAACGTAAAGGAAATAAAAGAAAAAAAACTTTTAGAGTATGTTTTTGTAAACCACAAACTAATCCTTGTGATAAAAGCTACATGGTGAACTTTCATACATCTTATTGTTTTTGTAAATTTCCATTCACATATCTTTCCACGTAGATCATCAGTTCTAATATTAACTTCCATGTGACTAAGAGGATGAAAATATGATTGGAATTAGAATGACAAGCCTCATATTCATCTTACAGGCCAAATGACAACAAAGTAAAGAGGAAGTTAAAGTCTACCAACTTCTCTTCCCTGCAGTGCTTTCATCATGATGTATCTGTCAGCAGGCACCAGTTTAACAACTTACAGGAAAATGAAAGGTGGTAAGAAGAGAGTGTAAGATATTTGTGCTTTCTTTTAATAGATCTGCTTAACATGAAATAAAACATTAGTCTTTTTTTTGTTGGGACTGTATGTGAACCAAAAACAAAAAGCACCACCTAATTATAAAAACAGAAAAACATTGGGGAACAGTTTTCAGCCTTTTCACACAAAAACATTTCATCGGCTATTAGCTTCTGCTTTCCGCTTTCCAGTAAATTATCTAATATATAGAATATGCTGCAAATAGTTTTCCTAGGAACCCATTCTCCCATTTGAGCTGTGCAGCTCCTCCAGAGTTAGACGTAGTCTCTGACAGGTGTCAAAAGTATTAATACTTATTACTCAAGTAGAAGTATAAATCCCACTTTTTGTAGAAGTTAGAGCAACAACTTAAGCTTTTTACTCAAGTAAAAGTATAAAAGTAGCATTTTTAAAACTACTTAAAGTATAAAAGTAAAAGTATTGAAGAAAAAAAATATTAAGGACAGTTAAACTTTATTTTTTCATTATTATTATTTTATTTTTTAACAGTGTCCTGTCTGGCGATGTGGCTAAAAGAATAACTGTCTTGATGCCAAAAAGAGCCCAACAGATTTTACTTTCACAAGTGGAGCAGTACGGCTATCGCAATAGTGTTCCGCTTGATTTATGCATATAAAT